GTAAATTACTAGGAGAAATGTTTTTTAACTTTTTTTACAAACTCTATTGAATTTTTTATGGTGTAAATGTTATTGTCTAATAGAGTTGAAAATCTAGAAACTAAATATTTAGCTAATGGATACGAGGCAGTACCTAAATTTGATACAATAGGACGGAAAGGAATACCACTTTTATGAATTTTTTGGGAAGAGCATATAATCTGGGCACAATTCGCAAACAGATGGGATAAGTGAATGTTTTAAGTTGCCTGAAATGATTTGCGAAGATTTGATCGCAGTTTTTATTTTTGACAAGTCCAAAGGTGAAGGATCTTTAGGGATCGGATTATATGGTCCTTCGTTTAAGAGTTTAGTGACACCATCGGTGTAAGTGTTCCTATCCATGACGACTATCTGGCCACCTTTGTCGGCCTTTGAAATAATAATATCCGGGTTAGAATGAATTTCATGCAATGTAGCTCTTTCTCTCGCAGTTAGATTTGGTTTCAAAGGTTTATTATTGAATTTCACATTATGAGCGATAAGATGCCTAATCATTTCTTTCTGTGAATCTGAAACTTTACTGAACTTGAAAGCTTTTTCGATAGGAGCCAAAATCTTTGGAATCGAGGGTTTAAAGGTTTGTGAGAAGTTAAAATTATATTTTAGAATTCTCTCTTGTTCTTCTGAAAGACTAACATTAGAAATATTAACTATTGCCAAAATTATTCAAAAAACATCTTCCATTGGAGAACTGGATTTTCTAGAGGCATTTCACATTCATAAAAATCTTTCTGTTCTAGTTAACGATCCTAATTCCAATCCAAATTTGCCTTCGGCCTTTAAAGAAATTATGTTTTAGTTCTGGTTTTACCAACAGATGGCGCCACTTGCTTATTCTTGTCCAGGCTTTCTTATCTTATCTAATCATTATTTCCTATCTGGTTCATTTGCGGTTTTGCAGCTGAAGATGGTGGTTCGGTAAAACCATCGAAACTAGTCCTGTGAAAATTTGGTAAATATAACGCTGATTTTTGTTGTTTGACTTCTGAATTAGTATTTATTATTCGGCGTGTTATTGTGTCTTAATTATAGAAGCCCCAAACAGGCTTATTTTTTTTTGCTTTCTTTTTGAACGTGGTGTGGCCGCCATTTTGTGATTGCATGAGTTTCGGTAAGTACTTTTTTTGCAATTTTCAAGTTATGTTTATATTTTGTATATTTGGATATTGTGCTTTGCTTGTCTGATTTTCATGCATTTTGCTTACGTTTTGTTTTCTATTAATTTCAGTGAGGGATTTTTTCTGCTGTTTTGTGTGTGCTTTATTATTGTTTAGTTAATTTTTAGTTTGATTTTCTATATTGTTTATCATGCCTTCATCCATTAATCGTTTCACTAAATTACGCCTGAAACGGCAAAAATTCCTGAATCATCTTGACTTTTTACTTAAATGTAAATGTAAAAAATTGATCCCAAATTTTATTCAAATCAAATCTAATCAAAAACCTTCGAGTCGCGTTTCAAGAATTCTGTTAAATTGCAAGTTTGCCTTACTTCGGTCCGTCATAAGGGATACACGTCAACAATTGTCCAAAATTGAACGTGAACTCTATAGGCTTCATCTGGAACTCGCTAAATCATATCCAAAATTCACTGCCCTTGAACAAAAGTCTTGGTCCAGAACGGAGAATGCAGTTAACCGTCATAAAAACACCCTTGCAGCTAAATTCAAAAAACTTCTTTTACAACCTTCCAGTTCAAGTAGTTGAAGAAAATAGTTAATATTTCTAATGTTAGTCTTTCAGAAGAACAAGAGAGAATTCTAAAATATAATTTTAACTTCTCACAAACCTGTAAACCCTCGATTCCAAAGATTTTGGCTCCTATCGAAAAAGCTTTCAAGTTCAGTAAAGTTTCAGATTCACAGAAAGAAATGATTAGGCATCTTATCGCTCATAATGTGAAATTCAATAATAAACCTTTGAAACCAAATCTAACTGCGAGAGAAAGAGCTACATTGCGTGAAATTCATTCTAACCCGGATATTATTATTTCAAAGGCCGACAAAGGTGGCCAGATAGTCGTCATGGATAGGAACACTTACACCGATGGTGTCACTAAACTCTTAAACGAAGGACCATATAATCCGATCATTAAAGATCCTTCACCTTCGGACTTGTCAAAAATAAAAACTGCGATCAAATCTTCGCAAATCATTTCAGGCAACTTAAAACATTCACTTATCCCATCTGTTGCGAATTGTGCCAGATTATATGCTCTTCCCAAAATTCATAAAAGTGGTATTCCTTTCCGTCCTATTGTATCAAATTTAGGTACTGCCTCGTATCCATTAGCTAAATATTTAGTTTCTAGATTTTCAACTCTATTAGACAATAACATTTACACCATAAAAAATTCAATAGAGTTTGTAAAAAAAGTTAAAAACATTTCTCCTAGTAATTTACTCATGGTTTCTTTTGATGTAAAATCGTTATTCACCAATGTCCCAGTGGAGGGTGCATTAAGATGTCTAGAAACCAGACTTCGCGAATTTCATTTCTCTTGCATCGAAATTGATGAGCTAATTTCTCTCACTCAACTCTGTTTGAAACAAACACATTTTGTTTTCCAAAATAAATATTACAAGCAAACTGAGGGATTAGCCATGGGAAGCCCCCTCAGTCCCATCCTGGCTGATATCTACATGCATTATTATGAATCAAAATTGTTTGAAACTTTAAACTTCCCGGCATGGTTCCGCTACATAGACGATACTTTTTACACGCTGTTTGAAGGTAATAAAGATGATTTAAAATAAAGTTCTTTCAACAATGAATTCTATTGATCCTGCTATTCAGTTAACTTTTGAACTTGAGACTTGCAATTCTCTTCTTTCGTTTCTCGACATTCTGGTCACACGTAACACATCCAACTTCAGTATTACGGTTTACCGTAAACCTTCATCGGTTTGCCTACCACCACACTTTAAATCATGTCATCCGACTAAACAAAAGTTAGCTTCATTTTATTCCTATGTTTTCCGTGCTCTTCAAGTTTGCTCCTCCAAACTAGCCCTTGATGAAGAACTAAATTATTTAAAAGCAATAGCTATTGACAGGGGCTTTCCACCCAACATTATTAATCAAGCAGTTAAAAAATTCTCATCTCAACACACTAAAAGGCACACTCTTGTTTTAGGAGATTATAAAAATTCTGTTGTCATTCCCTTCTTTCCATCAATTAGCTATAAAGTTGCACATATTTTGCAGAAATTTAACTTTCGGGTTGTTTATTCTCCCATCAATAAAATTCTGAGTTCCATATTCAAGGACCCCCATTCCGGATATGAATTCCTGGGGTATATATAGGATTCCTTGCCAGTGTGGTTTAATTTATATTGGCCAAACTAAGAGAGCCTTAAAAGTTCGCGTCAAGGAACATGAGGCATATGTGTTAGAAAAAAGGAAAACACAAAGTCTTCTGTTTGCTCAACATTGTTGGTCCGAAAACCACACTTTCAGTTTTTCTGCTGCCAAAATTATTCAAAAACATCTTCCATTGGAGAACTGGATTTTCTAGAGGCATTTCACATTCCATAAAAATCTTTCTTGTTCTAGTTAACGGATCCTAATTCCAATCCAAATTTGCCTTCAGCCTTTAAAGAAATTATGTTTTAGTTCTGGTTTTACCAACAGATGGCGCCACTTGCTTATTCTTGTCCAGGCTTTCTTATCTTATCTAATCATTATTTCCTATCTGGTTCATTTGCGGTTTTGCAGCTGAAGATGGTGGTTCGGTAAAACCATCGAAACTAGTCCTGTGAAAATTTGGTAAATATAACGCTGATTTTTGTTGTTTGACTTCTGAATTAGTATGTAAGCTTTTATTTGATATGTTTGAAAAAGAGTATCACATAGTAACATGAAACCTATGAGTTAAGAACATTGACACCAAAATGTTTTCAGTCTTTTTAGGTTTAAGTATTTTTAGATAATTAGAATTTTTATCATAAAGAAGTCTTTATATAAACCATGAACTCATTCCGAATAAATTCCATTGTGCACTTCTTAAATGCTTTATGCAGATTCTTCATTATTTAATTTCTTTAAATATAACACAAGGCAATAATATTTGCTGGCAACAATCTGAAAAGTGAAACAGACATTTAAAGTGAATCAACACAAAATGCCAAAATGAAATTAATAGCCCTTTTGAGCTAATGTTCCTTTGGTCTAAAAAATTAGAGCTATTCATTTTCTGTCTCCTATTGATTCCTTTCAAAACACAAAATATAATTTATGTTCTTGCTTTATTTAATTTGCACAGCCAAATCAACGTTTTCTTTTAATTAAACTGCTTAGAAAGGCAGGTAAATTGGTAACAACCATTTTCTGTTGATTATTGTGTGGGATATTAACTTCACCTTTTTTTCAGTTGCTGTTGGATTAACCTTGATTTTGAGTGAACCATGGATGTCATCCTCAATATTAATGTGGATGTCATCCTAATATTTCCAGTTAATTAGGAACGGACTGTAATTAAATACATCATTAGAGAGTAAATGTTCTAAATTTCAGAATAAGTAATTCAACAACAGGAAATACTTTCCAAAATAGGTTGTTTACAAATAAATATATATATATATATATATATATATTTTCTCCGTACAGTTGAAGATGAACAGTTATATAAACTTTCCAATTTTACATGTATAATGTTGAAAATATATAAAATTATATTTTTACACAATACATGCTTAGAAACATAAATTTTATTATTTTCAGCTGGCTAGTGTAAATCCTAAAAATGAAATGCAATTTCCTTTTTTCATGATAAAACAATGAACTTGTGCTGCATTTTTATCTAACAGTTAAAATTAGCAATTATTCATTATACATCTTCAGTCTCTTTTAGGAGTCTTGCATGATACTCTACAAAATAACTAAATTTGAGTATGAAAAATAAACTTACAGAAAATGAACATTATTACAAATATTATAAAATAAGTAGATTTTCTTACTTAAAAACCAAAGTATCACAGAAAAGGAAAGCATTTTCAGGAATCATCTCCAAGGTAAATTCACAAAAATCAGCTTTTATTGCTGAATCCAGCAAAGAATAAAATTGTTTTAAATATCGTTTTAATATAATTAAAACCTGCAAAAAATGCACATATAATGATAGGAAGTATGATCAGTCTAAAAACATTTAATAATAAATTTATATAAAACTCAACATATTTTAAGCAATTTTAAACAAACATACAGGTTGTAAGGATCCTAAGTTTTACTAACGTTTATTTTATTTTAAAACTGTAATATCACTTCTTATTTTCTACTTCCGGCAAGAATTAAATGCTTTAACTTGTTTATGCAAATTGTCTTGCTAATGCCAAGTACTTAAGTTGTGGCTTTTTGCCAAGAAAGAGAGAGAGAAAGGAGTTATAGGAAGCAAGCCACTTGCCACTGTAGTTTTACGAGTTTTCACTCTGTTGCTGGTTGCTTTAAGGCCAGAGGTTTAGCCCTCTTGATAATTGCAGACGTATCGTAGTTTCAGCAGCTCGGCGTACTACATACGTACCTTTTTTAAATAAAGGCCAATCTTAGTGCTAGGCATTTGTATACTAATTCAAAGTTAGTTTTAGTTAGAGTTTTAGTTAGTAGTTTTTATATTCTTACATTCAGACCACAAGTGGTTGGTCTCTGTATCCCGAAGTTTCGGAAATACCTGTAAAGTATTGAAAATAAAGGGTTTCATATACCTTTATTGCGTGTGTTGTCTATTTCACACCTTCCTGAACATAGCTTGAGTAAGCTCCCTGTTCCTATTCAGGACCATTCATGTTTCCAAAGCAAATCAAGAGAAATACAAGTCCTGATAGTGGCGCCCGAAGAAGAAGAATAACCATGGCCGAGTTTCAAGAAGAACCTGACGTGCCTGCAGCAGCGGCTCAGAATATAGAAATGCCAGCTGCCGCCCTGGAAGGATTTGGTTACATTGTCCAGACCATGCGCGCATCGATGAAACCAGCAGCAATCTTTGATGGAAACTCACCAGTGACCAGTGTTTTGGAAAAATTGGATGATCACTTCATGCTATATCCATTCCATGAGTTCCAGAAAGTCACCTTAGCTACCAGCGCTTTGAGGGGCCAAGCGCTTCAAATGTATAGTAAGAAACCTCTTGGGTCAAGGGGGAACTCCCACCTATACTTACGAAAATTTCAAGACTGCCTTAGTAAAAGCCTTCCCTGTCGTAAGAAATCGTGCAAAATTGGAAGCGGAACTCTTCAGCATATACCAGCAACGAATCGAAAATTTTTCAAGCTATTTTAAGAAAATTCATGTCTTAAACTCTTGTAGGAAGTGCGATCTGAAATAATCCAGTAATTTCCTGGTTACTCCCCAGTACAAGACTTTTGATTAGGCAGGCACAATCTCCAGAGGTGGCACGGCAGGCACAATCTCCAGAGGTGGCACAACGACAATCACAAGGGCAAGCCATGAGTAGACAGGTGCATATGAAAAGAAAGTTTCCCCGTTTGGAAAACTGAAGGTAACAAGAAAAAGAAGCCGTTCCACCGACCAGAAAAGAGAGGGCACGACCACCCCCAGAATGAAGAAGGGAAAAGTTCTACTAATGCAAAGAGAGCCAGGAGAAATGGCAGCAACTATAACACGGCTCCAAAACGGAAAGATCTACCCATCGGATAGGAGTCTACGCAGCAAATGTCGACGAATTGATGAAGGAAAAACCAGCTGCAGATGCAAAGAAGCAAGAAAACGTTTGAACAGCCAGCAACGAGATCCAGGCAACAACGAGAGAGAGTTGTCCCGGTTCCGCCAAGACCAGCTGCCATCAAACGGCCGGGAGTACAAGCAGATGCTAAAAAGAAGGTCTTCAAGGGTGTGACCGAACTGGAAAAAAAAGAAAGCTCATGGAGGAAGGAACCGAAGGGCGAACCCGCACAAGACGGAAGGATAAACCAGACGGTAGTCTTCGCCACTTTCCAGGACTGGGGCAGAAAAAAGGATGTCTGAATATCACAAAGATAAGTAAAACTTTATGTTACTTTGAAACCTTTAAGTTAATTTTTCATTCTTACTGCAAGTGGCAGAATTCAAGAAGTTTTACCTCATGTGAGGCCTACCTTTATCGCCAAAAAGGCGAGAAATGAGTTTTACCTATTTTGTTGTATGTTTTTCAATTACTCGCGAGTAAAACTAAAATTAATGTATAATAGGAATGTGTAAATACTTGAATATTGTAAAAGCATTGATAATCTTTGAGAAAGGTACCTTAAGAAAATTGTAAAAATTATTGTATAAAATTTTATTTAAAAGATTCTGGCAAGAAAGAAGTTTTAGTCTGAAAGACTTTTGAAATGTAGTATTTCAATGTAGAAGAATTGGCACTTGCTTGGAAAAGAATAGAAGTTAACAATGTACTACTAATGTATGTTTTAAAATGCGTAAAATTAACGGCATGTTAATATGTTCTTATATACAATGTGAACTGTTATGTTAAAAGTTAAGAAATACTGTGATATGTTAAAAGTGAAAATATTAGAGTAATGGCCAAAAATTTTAACTTATTCGTATGACTGTAAAAAGAGCAAATTATTGTGAATATGTGTTAAAGGTTGAATGAATGTAGTTAGGCTCTCTGACGCTACACTTCAGAGTTAGCCACTTTTCAGAATAGTACCTCAGGGTTTAGAGATGAATATAAGGTGTGTTCTGAGGTCTTGTTATGTTGAATTTTAACACGTTAGTGTTTTGATTGCAGGCGGTAGTGTTGAACACTTGTACATAGACACGCTCGTGTTTGGTGTTTCTCTTTACAACACATGTCAGAGAGCACGGGGAGATAATAATAAATGAAATCATGAATGAAATAAGAATTTTAAAAAGAAAAATATAAGTATTCATGTTACTTGCCATTTGATTGTGTAACATTTCATTAAACTAGTTTTCCTTCCAGATCTCTGGAAGGAACCAGATTTCAACTAAGAAAAACTCCTGTTTATAGATGCAGTACAGATGAAAAGTAATTGTCCATGGAATTGATCATGTAAAAACGACTTTTTAATTTCTAGATTAGATAGTTTCTAGTGAGAAATGTTTGTAAAAGATTGGCCTCGCGTTAGATTTAGAATCTAGAGCTAAAAGTTTTCAACAAGGTCGTTTTAGACCTCAGTTTCAAACTAATTAACTCTGGCGGGAAGTATGTAAGGATCCTAAGTTTTACTAACGTTTATTTTATTTTAAATCTTTACTATCACTTCTTATTTTCTACTTCCGGCCAGAATTAAAAGCTTTAACTTATTTATGCAAATTTGTCTTGCTAACGCCAAGTACTTAAGTTGTGGCTTTTTGCCAAGCAAGAGAGAGGAAGGAGTTATTAGAAGCAGGCCGCTTGCCATAGTAGTTTTTTACTCGGTTGCTGGTTGCCTTCAAGGCCAGAGGTTTAATCCTCTTGATAATTTTAAACGTATCGTAGTTTTAGCAGCTCTCTGTACTACATACGGAATTTTTGTTAAATAACGGCCAATCTTGAAGTTAGGCACTTGTATATTAATCCAAAGTTAGTTTTAGTTAGAGTTTTTAGTTAGTAATTTTATATTCTTACGTTCAGACCACAAGTGGTTGGTCTCTGTATTCCGAAGTTCCGGAAATCTCTGTAAAGATAGAAAAATAAAGGGTTTCGTATACCCTTCCTGTGTGTATTGTCTACTTCACAATTTATTGAACATAGCTTTAGTAAGCTCCCTGTTCCGAGTCAGGACAGTTCATGTTTCCAAAGCAAGTAAAGAGGAACACAAGTCCTGATAATCTAGGAATGGAAAAATTAATTTCTGCTAATACTTTGGAGGGAAGAAATTAAGAAAAGGAAAAAAGGAATTTTCACTGTCAAAGAGCTATTTCACAGACTAGAGATTATGAAATAGGCCCACTTTTTTAATAATAAGAAAAGTCTATATATAATAAAAGCAAGGAAAGCTGGAACACTGTTGATGCGTAATACCCAGATAGGATAGATCGTCTGTCTATATTGAAGAGGAAGAATTCTAATTGCGTTGTATGCTAATGTGTTGACTTTGGTAATATCTAAACAATTTGGCAGTCGAGGCGGTTTCAATTCCATTTTTATTTTCCAGTTTATGTTTGTGGCCACAATCACCTGGCACTATTCAAGAACATTTATTCCATAGTTTCTAGTATCTCTCTCTGTATTCCGAAGTTTCGGAAATACCTGTAAAGTATTGAAAATAAAGGGTTTCGTATACCCTTCCTGCTTGTGTTGTCCATTTCACACCTTCCTGAACATAGCTTGAGTAAGCTCCCTGTTCCTATTCAGGACGATTCATGTTTCCAAAGCAAATCAAGAGAAATACAAGTCCTGACAAGATTAGGATCAAAATTTAATGACAAAGGAATTTGAAATGAGTTATTAATGCAAACTCAAGAAGTAAATTTTCCAGAAAATAGAGCCCAGATCAAAAATGAGAACTATATATTAATACATTTTTTCAATAGCAGTGGTTCTCAACCTTTTGACTTACAAGTAGTACCATCTAAACAAAAATTGAAAAACTTTAGTACCACCACTTTATTTTACAATGATAATTTTTCAGTTCCTTAACAGTATTAATATATGTAATATCAGGAATTAGATGGAATGTTCAGATGTTCTTTATGGCCCTAGCTAGGTTTTTAACCTCTCCTTTTCTTATATATATATATATATATATGTCATTTGCACAACCTATTGGCTATTTTGTTTTAAATATGCACACATCAAAAATATTAGATTAAAAATATGCTACCATTCTAATTATCAAAATTTATGCTATAATACTTTAATTCTAAAACTTAGTGCAAAATTTGGGCCTGTTTAAGATGGATTCTTTATTTTACTTAGTTTTAACCATAATTAGGATCCACTTTTAATTTTGTTTGGTATTTATTTTTCAAATATAACATGGAAGAAATTCCTTGTTCACAGAAACAGGTTGAGGAAAAAGGCAAGAAAAATTTAATAACTTTTTTTTGAAATGCCTTTAAATTCTCTTTTCTGGTTCAGCCAAAAGTTAACAAGTTCACATTTTTCAAATCTTT